CCTTTATACCCAAGATGGCTACCACGTTACGCAGAGACTCCATTCACCATAACCAAAGGCCCTTCATGTTTGGTTAGGTTAGGTTTTTTGGGTTAGGTTAGGTGGTTGTATCATTGACTTAACTTGGTACGGAGGGGAGGGAGGGAGGGAGAGGTGTTATCATGGGAGCTTGAGTTTTTCGGGGTGGTTATCGTGCCTGTGTGAGATACGCCCTTGTTTACCTGCCAGACACGTGACCTGTGTGTGTAGCTGTCTTGAGACGTTGTCGTCTCTCCTTCTCCTCTCCCTCACCCTTTCCCTCCCTTCCTCCCTCTCTCCCTCCCACTCCCTTCCTCCTTCCTCTCTCCCTCTCTCCCTCCCTCCCGCTCCCTCACCTTGCTACCCCCTTCCTCCCTCCCTCACCCTTTACCCTCCTTCTCCCGCTCCCTCACCTTGTACCCCTTTCCTCCCTCTCTCCCTCACCCTTTACCCTCCCTTCCTCTCTCCCTCTCTCCCTCCCTCCCGCTCCCTCACCTTGTACCCCCCTTCCTCCCTCTCTCACCCTTTACCCTCCCTCCCTCCCGCTCCCTCACCTTGTACCCCCCTTCCTCCCTCCCCTTACCCTTTACCCTCCCTTCCTCCCTCTCTCCCTCCCTTCCTCCCGCTCCCTCACCTTGTACCCCCCTCCCTCCCTCCTCTTCCTTCCTCCTCCCTCACCCCCCCCCCTCTCTCTCCCTCCCTTACCCTCCCTTCCTCCCTCTCTCCCTCCCTTCCTTCCCTCCCTCTCCCCCTCCCTGGCCCCCTTCCTCCCTCTCCCTCACCCTATACCCTCCCTTCCTCTCACTCTTTTCCCTCCCTCTCCCTGTACCCTCTTTGCTCTTTGTACTCCTCCTTTTCTCTGCTTCCCCCTCCCTTCCTCCCCTTCCATTGTACCTCCCTCCCTCCTCCTCCCTCCCTCCTCCCTCCCTCCCTCCCAAGCATCAGGCGCAACACGCTGTCATCACCACCACCACCTGTGACGTCACGCCCATGTGTGCCGCATTTCACTCACCTATGTGGGCGTGGGCGGCGATGAGTGTGGGCGTGGGCGGCGATGAGGGAGGTGTGGGCGGCGATGAGGGAGGTGTGTGCGGCGATGGGGGTGTGTGTGGGCGGCGATGAGGGAGGTGTGTGGCGGCGATGAGGGGTGTGTGGGGCGTGGGCGGTGATGAGGAGGTTTGTGTGTGTGCGGCGATGAAGGGGGTGTGTGTGGGCGGCGATGAAGGAGGTGTGTGTGTGGGCGGCGATGAAGGAGGTGTGTGTGGGCGGCGATGAGGGGTGTGTGGGCGGCGATGAGGGTGTGTGGGCGTGGGCGGCGATGAGGTGTCTGTGGGCGTGATGAATGAGGTGTGTTTGTATGTGGGTGGTTGGGTGGGTGGACGCATTGACGGAGGTGTGTGTGGGCGGTGTTAGTGGGTGGCAGTAAAAGGGTTGGGTGCTAGTGTCTGCTGGGGAAACTACTCTCTCTCTCTCTCTCTCTCTCTCTCTCTCTCTCTCACAACCATCAGTAAATATTAATATAACTTATGTAATAATATCCCTCCTTGTGCCTAGTCCTCCTCCTTCCTTTAAGAGGGAAGTGCAATTATGGAAGGGAGAGGAGGGAAGGAAAGGGAGTAATGTTTGTAAATAAAGGTGAGTTGGAGGAGAGAGAGAGAGAGGAAGGGGAGAATGAATGGGGAAGTAGGAAAGAAGAAGAAGAAGAAGAGGAGAGGGAGGAGAAAGCCGAAGAAGATGAATGAGGAGACGAGGAGGATGGTAAGACTTGGAGGAGGGAGAGGGGGTAGGTGCTGGTTGGTTTGTTTACATGCGATCAGCTGTGTGCGTATGGCGGGACGACAGCTGATGGGAGAAAGCACTGGGCGGAGAGGGCTCATGAGACGTCCAGCAATGACACACACACACACACACACACACACACCACACACACACACACACACACACACACACACACACACACACACACACACACACACACACAGCGATTGGGGTGCTTGGCTGGGACTTGGCATGGCTGGAGCTTGGCTGGCTGGTCTTGGCTGGTCTGGAATTTGACTTGGCTGGGACTTGGCTGGCTTTGGCTTTGACTGGTGATGGGGAGGTCTTTGTTCTTCCTCCTTAACTCCTCAGGTGATGGTTGGTTGGCTAGGAATGGGAACGAGAGAGAGAGAGAGGGGGGAAGTTCATGACTGTGACAAGAGAGTGTGTGTGTGTGTGTGTGTGTGTGTGTGTGTGTGTGTGTGTGTGTGTGTTATAACGTTAGGGGTATTATGAAAAATATTCTGGGTGTATTTGTGTTAAAGAGTGTATTCTGTGTCGGGTGTTGAGTGGTTCTGTGTAGGGTGTTGAGTGGTTCTGTGTAGGGTGTTGAGTGGAAGGTGTTGAATCCTACTTGAGTTTGTTAGTGGTAACACATGGTAAGGGGGTGTTACGTGACCACAAGAACACAGAAATGAATGTTGTTCTCATTTCAGATATAGATATAAAGTGTGTTGATATGTATGCGTGTGGTGGGAACTGAGGGGGTGGTGATGGTGGGTGGGTTATGGGTGGTGATGGTGGGTGGGTTATGGGTGGTGATGGTGGGTGGGTTGTGGGTGGTGATGGTGGGTGGTGATGGTGGGAGGGTTATGGGGGTTGATGGTGGGTGGGTTATGGGTGGTGATGGTGGGTGGGTTATGGGTGGTGATGGTGGGTGGGTTATGGGTGGTGATGGTGGGTGGTGATGGTGGGTGGGTTATGGGTGGTGATGGTGGGTGGTGACTCAAGCTTTTCTTACTTAAACACCACTAGCACTATAGGACCCCACCTCTGCCACCACGGACGTCTTCCTTGTCTCCCACACCGCGCCCCTCCCGCCTGCTGTATGGATCTCTGTTGCCATGAGACGGCGGGGGGTGCCCTGAGCGAGAGGAGCAGTAGCCCTAGACGTCACTATGGCGGGCCATGGCAACCACGCCTGGCCACGACGCCACGACAGGGGGCCGGGGAGGTCACCACTGGGATGCCCTGTCTGTACTGTACAAAGAGAGAGGGTGGAAGGGGAGAGAGAAGAGGGAAGGGGAAAGGGAGAGGGGAAGAGGGAGGGGCTTTTGAGTGTCCCCCTTAACACCAACAGTTGCAGCAGAGAGGGCTTGAAGGACACCTGCAGCAGCTGTTGTGGCCTCTGTCCCCGCCCCCCCCCCCACCCCCACACACCCGGGTCTACGTAATTGTGAGGGAGGGGGGGCGTTTGTACTTAGACCAGAGAGAGTGAGGGACCAGGTGCTTCCTAGACCAGGTGATAGTGGTCTTATCAACCCACCCGAGTGATGACGTCTGTGTGTGTGGGGGGGGGGATCAGGTAAATGAGATTGTTGTGATGGTCGTAGGTGGACATAGGTGACGTTGAAGATGGATTCGAGTTGGTGGTAGGGGCAGAAGGAGGGGGTGAAGGAGGGGAGGGAGGTGTCGTGTGTTGTACTTGTCGCCGGGTGTGTCTTGTGTTGTGGATACTGCTGCTGTTGTGGGTCAGGGCGTCGTGGCTCACCATTGATTAATAGCTCAGGGGGAACAAGTCTACAGCAGCTGGCAGCAGGGGGAGGCGAGAGAGAGAGAGCAGGGGCTGACAAAGGGGAAAAGGGGGCGGTAAGCAAGCAAGGGGAGGGCAGCAGGGGAACTTAACAAGGGAACGGTATCTGGTATGAAGACAAGGGCAGGGGAAGACTCTGGTAGGGCAACTGACGAAGGGAGAGAGGAGCGTACGTGTTGAGATACCTTGTGAGGCCCTTCGTCAGGTTACCAGGAGGAGGCCAGTGTCTAGTAGGTGTTGTAGCCAGACGATTCACCAGGGGGAGGGGTAGCTGGCGGGGAAGGGGGAACAGAAAGGGAAGAAGCAGACAGGGTTAAAAAGTCCTTCCACCCCCCCCCGCCCCCCCACAAAGATGGTGGACTAGAGGGAGGAGGAGGGGGGGCGCCGCGGCACTAGGAGGAGAGCCCTTGCGTGTAGATCACCCACCTTTACTGGCTGTCTGGAGGCTTATTGATATTAGGTTTACCGGGTGGGGGCGTTGACGGCAGTGGTGGTAGAAGGCGTGTGTGTGTGTGTGTGTGTTCAACATGCATGGTCCTGTGTCAAAATAAAAATGATTTATGGGTAGTGGCTTCAGGTAGCATTAATGGTGTTAGGGGGGTGGGTGGTCCTTACCTGGGATATACCTTAACCTGTCCTGCACAAGTGTTATGTCGTTATAGTCTCTCTCTCTCTCTCTCTCTCTCTCACCTGTTGACTCTTCCAGGTGTTGCTTCCGTGTTAAAAGTTTCCTCCAGCTGTCCTGTCTCACTGCCCTTATGAGTGACATTGGCTCTATATATTTATTTACTTACCTGTATGATTGAACCAATTTGCATCGTAACACCTGTCGTGACTTAATGCACAGGTGTAATTAACCCCTTAAAGCTCACCTGAAACTCGACATATTTTACTATATGTATCTGTTTGTGATGGGTATGGTTGTTTGTGTGTTTGTGAGTGTAAAAGTTATTGTATGGTTGGTGGTGTGTGGTTGAGTGTTTGTGTGTGGTTGAGTGTGTGTGAGTGTGTTTGTGTGTATAGAAGACAGGTGGTTCCATTGAGGTAGTGGTGGTATTTGGCAGTTATCCATAGTTAGGGGTTGCCAATGTGTGTTTATTTGAAGGAATTTCTTGCCTGTGGTCTTAACTCTCTGTGTGTGGGGATTGTTTATACGGGTTACAATTAGGCCATATTGTTCCATCAGTGCCAAGACTGTGTTTATCAGTGCCATAAATTTAACAAATATTTCGCGAGATTAACGGGTGTTTGAGGCAATTAACAGGTGTTTAACGAGGCTACAGATGTTCAAAGAGTACAATCAAGTGTTTTACTGGAACTCTCAGGTGTTTTATGTACTTCAACAAGTGTTTTCTTAATTACAACAGGTGTTTCATGAGTCTGACAGGTGTTTCTCCCTCCCCTCCTCCAGACACCTGCGGGAAGGCACGCTAGAGGACAATAGTATCATGGATGGAGCGAGGATTACCCTTCTTCCCTCCGTCGAGACTGGACTATTGGTGAGTACTGTTGGTGACCTGTGTTGGAGAGTACTGTTGGTGATTGGTGACCTGTGTTGTGTTGGTGACCTTGATAGTGTGACCTTTCTTGGTGACCTTGATTATGACCTATTGGTGGCCTTAAAATGGTGATCTTTTCAATGTGACTATCTCTTGGTGATTCTATATGGTGAAGGAAAGAAGGAAGGAAGGATAAAGGGTAAAACTAGAAGGAAGGAAGAGAAGGAAAGAAGAGCAGGAAGGAAGGAAAAGAAGGACGGGAAGAAAGAAAGGAGGGAAGGAAAAGAAGGGCGGGAAGGAAGGAAGGAAAGGAAAGAAGGAAGAGAGGAAAAGAAGGGCAGGAAGGAAGGAAGGAAGGAAGGAAGTCTCAAAGTAAACAGGAATGGTCGAATGCGCCGCGTCACTATACAGGGGCCTTCTGAACGCCATTGTCCACTATAGGGAGGTCCAGCCTGAGTATATAGTGGCCAGGGAGACATTCACTATATGACGGGGGGGTGGTGGGGAATTGGATTTAGGATGAGGGGATAAGGAGGGAGGAAATAGGTTGGGGGGGGTAGGCAGGGTCTTAGTGTACAGGTCGAGGGCAACGTGGTTTTATGTGTTGTGGTTGTCAACTAGATACACGTCTTGTTGTGGTTAGGAGAGAGAGAGAGGGGGGGGGAGAAATGAGAGAGAGAGAGAGGTATTGTTACGTTGGGGGTCTTGATTAATCTACCTGACAGGTGTATTGTATATAATAGCCTGGTATAAGCAGGTGTACTAAAAGTTGATTGTTTAACACACACACACACCTCCACTCAACATCTGTCAAGTCATTGTGGTGGTTGATGGTGATTGTGGTGGTTGATGGTGAGTGTGGTTGTTGTTGGAAGAGATTGTGGTGGTTGATGGTGATTGTGGTTGCTGTTGGAAGTGATTGTGGTGGTTGTGGGTAGTGATTGTGGTGGTTGATGGTGATTGTGGTGGTTGATGGTGATTGTGATTGTTGTGGGTGGTTGATGGTTAAGTGAATGTGGTTGTTGTTGATGGTGGTGGGTAGTTGGTGGTGTTTTTTTTAATTGATTGTTGATTGTTGTGGCTGTGGTTATTGATGTGATTGTGATTATTGATGCTAGTTGTAGTTATTGATGGTAGTTGTGGGTATTATTATGATAGAGATTGCAGTTGTTGTGATTGTTGTTGATGCTGGTGGTTATTGATAGTGATTGTTGTTGTTATCATCACTGTTTTAACTATTTCCTCAATATCTGTTTGTCGTTTCTGTTGTCGTTTCTGTTGTCTGTTTTATCAGTTATTACGACAATTATTTATCTACGTCCGTTCATTTTGTGTTTTATCATTTAATTGTAAGTTCCTCTCTCTCTCTCTCTCTCTCTCTCTCTCTCTCTCTCTCTCTCTCTCTCTCTCTCTCTCTCTCTCTCTCTCCTGTCTCCCCATCCTTAATCCCCTCCTCCCTCCTCCCTCTTCTCCCTCTCCCTGTCTCATCCTTCTTATCCTCCTCCCTCCTTCTCCCACAGTGGCTGAAGGCGTTAAGGTCAACCTCAATCCCTCTTCTCCTCTCTTCTTCTTCTCTTCTCCTCTCTTCTTCTCTTCTTACTCATCCACCCCTCTTCCAAACACTAAGCCATTTCCAACAGAGGGATGGTCGATGGGAGAGAGAGAGAGAGAGAGAGAGAGAGGATTCAATTCTTCATACTCAAGGGTTAAGTTGTACTCTAAAAGGTTAAATCATCGTACTCAAGGGGTAGGTGGAGGGGTGATGGAGAGTGGGGGGTAGGTGGAGGGGAAGGGTGATGGAGGTAGGGGGGTAGGGAGGTAGATTGGTGTGTGTTCCCCCGAGGAGGAGAAGAGGAACAAGAGGAGGAGGAGGAAGAGAGGTATATGGAAGAAGCACAAGGGCGTATCTTCCTTGCGTGATTTGGTGGTTTGAGTCCTATCACCAGGTGTCCCAAAGGCGTAATTAACTACCTGTAGGGGTAAGATCTTGGTGTCCCTGTGTGTAGGTGGGTTGGTGGTGGGTTATGGGCTGGCTAGTGGGTTTGTGGGCTGGTTACGGTGGTTTGGCTAGTGGTGGGTTGGCTATTGTGTGGTGGGTTAATGGCTACTGGAGTCTGGCGGCCTTGTTATTACTGTCCTGTTTTGACCTTTGTGTGTGTGTGTGTGTGTGTGTGTGTGTGTGTGTGTGTGTGTGTGTGTGTGTGTGTGTGTGTGTGTGTGTGTGTGTGTGTGTGTGTGTGTGTGTGTCTCCGTCCGTCCATTCATCCGTCCAAAGTGTGTGTGTGTGTGTGTGTGTGTGTGTGTGTGTGTGTGTGTGTGTGTGTGTGTGTGATAGGGTCATCTGTTGGCTGGTCAGCGCCACATCTTGTATAGGTAGCCTTATGGGGAGATGAATATACTGGGAGAGTTTTGTCGATAAGCCTCTACTAATAATACTTACTACCCAGACGACTAGCTACTATTATTACTTTGGATACTTTTACTACTATTACTATCTAGTTTTATCTCCCCCTTCACCTCCTCCTCCTCTTCCTTTTCCTCCTCCAAGTACGTCATACACTAACTTGTCCTCTAGGGGTATAACAGAGAATAACACATCCTTGGTTAGGGTAGGTTTGATTAGGGTAGGGTTACGTTAGGTTAGGTTTGGATAGGGTAGGGCAGGGTTACGTTAGGTTAGGGTAGGGTTAGGTTAGGGTTGGGTTACGTTAGGTTAGGGTTACGTTAGGGTAGCGTTAGGTTAGGTTGTCGTGTCCTATAACACAACCCTAGAATAGGTGTTATCGAGAGAGGGTGAGGTGCAACAACAACAGAAAAATCGGAAAACATTGAATCATTAAAAAGTGTTTACATTCCCTGTGTTTTTACGGGTTGTGTTCAGGGTGGCTGGTTCATCAAGGCTCTGGTGAGGGCATGTGGGTGGGTGGGGGGTGGTGGAAGGGGGGAGGAGAGAGGAATCTACTGTTTAAATATCAATAAGGGTATAGGAGGGAGGGGGAGGGGGGGTGGTGGGTGTTGGTGGGAAGAAGGAAAGGGTGAGTGGGAAGGGAGGGAGAGGAAGTGGGTGGGGTGTTGGATTGGGAAGGAAAGAATGAGTGGGAGGAGAGAGGAGGGGGTAGTGTTGAGTGGGAAGGAAGGGGGGAGGAGTGAGTTTTGAGTGGACCGGAGGTGGGCGAGGAGTGGTCAGTGAATGTTCGAAGCGTGGGGGGAGGAAGTGGGGAGAGGAGGGAGGGGGGAGGAGGTGGAGATGAGGGTTGGGGGAAGGAGGGAGGTGAGACATTTGGAGGAAAATCGGGGAAGGAGGGGGGAGTAATAATGGGATGGGGGGTGTGTGTGTCGAGGGAGTGGTGAAGTTAGGGTGACAAAGAACAGTGGAAGGGAGGGAGGGAGGGAGGGAGGAGTGTATAGTGATGAGGGGTTGTGACCAGGAGGGGGTGGGGGAGAAGGAAGGGGAGGCAGGGTGTGTGTGGAGGTTGTGTGTGGGTGGAATGGGTGGTAGGTATATTGTTTTATGGTGATATTAAAGATAAGGAAGGAAGGAAGGAGGGAGGGAGGGAGGAAGTGGGGATGTAGTGAATGAGGAGGGAATGAAGGAAGAAAGAAAGAAAGGAATGAAGGAAGGAAGGAGCATGACAAAGCTCACTTAACTGCAGTTGCTGCCCCAACATTACTGTATTGACTCTCCCGTGTCTGTGTTCACCCCTTCCCCCAGTACTTGTCCACTTGACCCCTGTCCTCACCCTCACTACCCCCACCTGCCACCCCCCCCTCACCTGTCACCCCTCACCACACTTATCACCCTCACTACCCCTGACCTGACACCCTCACCTATCACCCCTAACCTACCTCACCCCCCTCACCCACACCCCCACCTATCACCTCACCTGTCACTCCTCACCCCACCTGCCACCCTCACCACCTGCCACCTCACCCACACCCTCACCTATCACCCCTAACCTATCACCCTAACCTATCACCTCGTCACCTGCCACCCCTCACCCACCTATCACCTACCACCCTCACCTATCACCCCTAACCTATCACCCTCACCACACCTATTACCCTCACACCTGTTGACTTCTCGATATAAGAAACACTATATTTCACCCCCTCCTCATACTATTTTCAGTTCCCCCCACCACTACCACCTATTTACTAGCACTAGGAGGAACTAGAGGCTATTTAATCGAATGAGGGGGTGAGGGAGGGGGGGGCAAGGAGTTGGCTGGAGTTCGGGGTCATACTTGAAGGATCCGGACACAGGTGAGGGGTCGATCCATTGACCAGAGGTAATTTTCAAGACCCAATATTCCATTATCGTTCCTTGACTCTGGAGGGGGGCGGGGGGTGATGGTGAGGGAGGAGGTGTGTTGGGAAGTGGTGTGGTGGTAGGGGATGGTGGGGAGGTGGTTAGGAAGAGGGGTGGGGAAGGAGGTTGTGGTAGGGGTGGGGGAGGTCAGGGGTTGGGGGAAGGGCGCAGTGAGAGGAGCTGGTTAGAGGGGAGGAAGAGGGGATGTAAAAGGAGAGGGGGGGTCAGGCACGTAGCAATATACCCTCCTGTAATAGTGGTGTTGTTTTAGTCCGTGGTTGTGGTTGTTGTGGTGGTAGTTGTTGGTTGTGATTGTTGTTAACGGATGGTGAGGGAAGGGAGTGGTGGCCTGTTCTTTCGTCTTCCCCTCTTCTGCTTCTTCATCCTCCTCTTCTCCCTCCTCTTCCCTCTCCTCCCCCTTCTTCCCTCTCCTCCTCTTCTTCTCATAGTAACTCCCTCATCCACATTCCTTGGGGGATGACAGAGAGAGGGGGGAGGGGTTATCAGCCCTCACGTACGCCATCTTGGCTCAAGTGACCTCCTTTCTGACCTCCTCTCCCCTTCTCCACCTCGTTCGTTTGGTTATGGCAACACTGTTTTGGGTCCACATCTGTTAGCCTCTTTATTAACCTGTTTCTCTTTCTCTTCTCCCTCATCCTCCTCTTCCCTCTTTCCTCCTTCCTACCCTTCCTACCTCCCTCTTCCTACCTCCCCTTTCCCACCTCCCCTTCCTACTCTCTTCCTACCTCCCTTCTTCCTCGCCTGCTTCTCACTACTAAACGGGGGGGGGTCAGTTCCAAGGTCTTATCATTGATTGCCAGTAATAGAAATCTGTTGTAATTTTTGTTACAGCTGAGTCCAATTGCAGGGTCGAACCAGGCACCTCCGCCACAGACAGTTAAC